ATATATATATATATATATATATAATTTATTTATATGCACGTGGAAGGTATACTGTATAGCATGGTCTTGTTTTCTTCAGACGCATTACACCCTTCCTGTTGGGCGTTATTATTATTATTATTATTATTATTATTATTATTATTATTATTATTATTATTATTAATATACTAGAGAGAATCAACCATTTCATGTAGCTGCCAACTTCTTTCGACACTCTACTGTTCGTCGTGAGAATACAAAGTTTCTATGGTGTTAACTTTCATGATCTTGAAGTTTTTCACAGTTCAATGTCATTGTTTTTCTCTAATCTCTGCACTGTCTTAGCGTAGTTTTTCCCAACGTAGTCTTTATCGTTTTTCAGGGAGGTTCTTATGTAGTTGTGTATATTGCCCTTAATTTTTCACTTTTTTCCGTGATTCTCGTTTTGTCTTGATATTATTTTCCATTTGGCGGATATTTTTCTCTGTGTTTAACTCTTTTTATTTGGTTTTTCGGAAGAGTGTCTGTATTGTATTGTTCATTTGTATTGTTTTATTTTTGCGTGCGCCTGCACTAAGACCTCTTGGTGTTCCAGGTCCCGTAAAATAAATGTTCGGTGCATTGATTGTATTCCTACAACGTTTGACGGAAGAACAATTCACTAAAAAAGAAAGGAATTACGTGAAGTGTCACTTTAAAAATGATATGGGTGGACTTTCAAGCCGTGGTCCCTCCCGTGATAACCCTTGCCTCCTTTATGTTGACTGCGTGAAAACAACAAGGTCTTCCTACCAGTGCGCCTTCGCCCGGAAGGCACTAGAAGCAGCAGTGTACCCGCCGTAAACAAGAGATTATCCTGGCCACACTCTCCCAGAAGTCGCGATAAGCACACCGTAGCGGAGCTTGCGTTGCACAAGCAGCAACGCGCTGCCCGCTCGGAGAAACGTGGGAGTGAGGCGAGAGAACGGTAGGAATCCTGCATGGAAAGGCATTTCGGTCTCCACCATTTTTCAGAGGCTGAATGGCCCGTGGAGACTGAATCCCTGCATAGAGAGATGAAGTGTCATCGTCCATTGAGGCGGGGCTCAGCTGCCCACTTGAAGGTCGCGGGTTCGGTTCCGGTTGCATTTAGATGGATCAGAAATGCTAGAGGCCTGCGTATTTTGCGATGTCTGTGCACGGTATAGAACAACGAAGGGTTGAAATTTCCTAAGCCATCCACTCTGGCGTGCCCCATAATAATATAATTTTCACTCGTTAACCCCACCCCAATATTATTGTTAATAAATGAAACGCCATCAAGAAGTGACAAAATGTCGCGAGTGATAATTAGAAAGCCATTAGTTTGACCGCTAACTATGTGGTTGCTGAACATTATTCAGACACCAAGTTATGCGCCTTCTCTGATACGTGTTTTACTTGACACTAACTTTCTTACTTCATTTGTCTATGACTAAACATAGTGTCACTAACGCTGGTCCAAATCAACGAAACAAAGAATATGTTAGGGTTTGGGTTTACTTTGATGATCGCATCGGTACATGAGTACACCTGCTAACTGGGATACAACAGGACGCACTTTTTGTGGTCAGCAGGGAAAGGACAGCGCGTGCGCACCTTGGCTATCCTGTCTACCTCCTTGTTCCGCCATGAAGCATCCGAAAAATTGAAAAAAACAAACAGCGAAACTAAACAATTCTGCAGACTAATTTAAAGGTGGGTCTTAGCTATAGGTAATTCAGGCTGTTTGTATACGTTGATTCTCAGTGGAAAGAGGTTTGAGCGGAACAACAGGAAGTCAAGAGACACGACACGGATCTCTAAGCTCCACAGAGAGAAAAACTCGCGCTTAAACAAAGCATTCGCACCTCCCGTAGACTTAAGGGCACTTCGTCGTTGGCCTTCTATCGCTTCGGGGTCTTCTGGGAGCCGCCGTTGCTTATGCTGTGTACTGTAGCATTTTTTTGTTGTACGTATTGATGGTCGTCATCGCCCAGCCGTCATTTTGCAGCCATTTGTTGGGCTTCTATTGTCTGCTTCTTTTTTTTTTTGAAGCAGTGGTGAACAAAGGCATTTAACGAATTGCTGTGGCACCGGCCCGTCTATGATGATGATAGTTGTCTGCGATTGGCTCACAAGGAACGATTTGCCACCCAACTTGGTTAAAATTACAGCCTTATTTAGAATAGACAGACACCGTACTAAAATTCTGAACATTTGTTATTGTTACGGCATCTTCGAACTATCGTTCTTTTGTCTGCTTGCGCTTTCTTAAATAATTTCAATGGGAGGAAAATGTAATGAACACCCGTTGCTTACATTTAGCTGAACATTCGAAACCCCAGGAGGTGATCCCACTGTGGCGTTCAACGCAGTCATATAATTGCTTCGACTCATAGAACTTCAGCCATTGTCAGCTGGGTTAATACGCAAGTGCGCAGACAGGGCGGGACACGGAGCATAGAGACACGAAATGACCAGACGATCTCAGAGTAAGCGATCGAAAGCTGACATAGTTATTACCACTGTTTGGTCTAAGTCAGGGGCACATAGTTTCTCGAGTGCCCCGGGAAGTCATTTCATCCGAGTGGTTCTAATCAACGTAAAAAGGTGGTACTCTACTTCAGCCTTAAGGAGCTCATGTGTTTATATTTGTTCCGCTTTCTCAGCAAAACACAAAACAAGCGTCCTATAAACGTTCTATCAACAGGTGTTACAGACACGAAGATATGACATATACAACGCTGGCTATATCTCAGAATCTTGCATTATTCTAAAATTACTTTTATTCTATTGTCAAGATGGGAGCCGACAGATGGAAACACGTATAGGGGGATAATCAGGGTGAACAGTGAAAGTGTCTGGCCGACGTTTCGATAAGAGGAGCTATCTTTGTGAAAAGCACGACGAAAATGAGCTACGGGACAATGATAAAGTGCTAAAACTCAAGCTTGCTAACTTCATGCAGATAAAAACAAGTGCATCATGTTGCAATAATAAAATTCTACAAAGAGTACACATAAAAATGTAGCGCAGGAGCCATTGCAAGCCGCATGCGTTGATGAATTTCCTATATCCCTTTTCAAAAACTGAAGTGTTGTCCAAGGATTTGCTCATAAGAGAAAATAGGTTTGTGCTGTTCTGAAAAGGTAAACAGGTAGTAAAAAAATAGCTTTAAAGGACTGTAAATTGGAGCACAACTTAACATTCAAAAGCAAGTTAAGTCGGGAGTCTGCCGAGTTTCATCTACAAGTGTCGCCTGAGCAAATTGTCCAGCAAGTTGTCACCGTGAGGTCACGAGGTCTCTGTCTCAAGCAACCGAAGATGTGCAGGCTCTGCGATCTCGGCCGGCTCGTGTCGCGAGCTTTCATCGGCCAGCGCGGCTTCTCCGGCCAAGGGAGCCGTCCTTCATAAACAAGCTGGAGGACCGGCGTTCGCGCATGGCTGAAGCCAGCGTCGCTCGCCGTGGGACCGCCCTGCCGTGCTTGTATTTTTAGGGCCGCTTTGTGGGCACTGCATGAGTGGACACGCCGTGCCCTTCGGCGTGGTGGTCAGCGAGAACGACAGCGGGGCCGGCCGAGTGGCGGCGCTGTCGAGGCTGCGGTGGTGATGGGTAGCAGAGATGCTTACGCGCGCGCTGCTGCGAATGGTTTGCCGCCGTTATGTGGCCTAATGGTCGGTCAGTCCAGCGTGGCGTAATTAACGGCCTTCAAGGATGGGGCGTTGTTTTGCGGTTCCAAATTCAAGGGGCTTGGATGAACTTCGCCATCTTTAAAGACAGCTCTACAAAACGTCAGCTCGGTTTAGTGGCTCAAAAGTGTGCATTTCTCTGCTTGGACCCCAGAAATTGTGAGATTAAAGCTAGTTTCTACCTCGGATCACTTAAACAGGCTCGTAGCCCCGAAGCAACGAATGTTTTCCCGAAAGAAAAAAAAAGGGGGGAGGGGCACTTACTGAAGGCATGGGCTGTTTTGGATAAACACATGATTTCACCATTTATTTTTAGCGGAAAGTGCCCCTTCAGAATTTTGCAGGTGGGCTCCTCGACTCCTGCCTCTCTTCACTCTCTTTTGGATGCGGGCGTGCTTTTAAGCAATACTGAAATATTATTCTGTGACATGTTGTCTGCGCAGGAATCGCGCAATGTATATACCTCTGTTATCCACCATAAGAGGACAAACTTTTGTCAGTCATGAGGGTATAATTCACTATTCACATACGCTCTTACACTTATCTCAAACGATGTGGTGTTCTGACAGCTTCCGTTAAAACAATATCTTACAACAAACCTAGTTGATTTAATGAAGCGAACAACGCAGACGGCGGAGAAGAGACCAGGAGACGTGGGTATTTTTTAAAATTTGTTTGCGGTTGCACAAGCAGGCTCTTTGCTATTAGCTTTTGCTGCAATAGATATAAGCTCGCCTGAACGTTTCTGTGCAAGTTTTAGCCTTCAAGCGCTGAATTACACCCTCAACACATACAAGAAAGTATACATCGTTGATAGTTTGAGCGCTAGCCTTCGAAACAGGTCCATGGGGTTCGTAGTCACAATGAGTGTACACCTGTACAAAGATACCGCATCTGTCACAATGCTCAAAATGGCAAGCTTTTACTGTTTCTGGTAAGTATGGGGAAGAAAGGGCCGGGGGTCTTTTTATATTTTTTGCTTATAGTATATTGCCCACTGTTTTGCGATTTTTAAGCGGAATAGTGGAAGGGGGAGTGAGTCGATAGTCCAGAAAATGCCTGATGTCACAGTGTTTTATTTTGCTGAGCAGAACAAAAGCAGTCGTGTTTGACTGTATTTTCTGAGCACAATCACACTGCGCAATCATCAAGTTCTGCGCGTATCAACCTATTTTCGGGAAGGAACTGCGAGATTGCTGTTTGGGCACTGTGTAGATTGTGTGTTTGGTTTATGGCAAGCATTTACGCACGAACTAGTACACCACGTGAACAATTGCATGTGCTCTTTTGTTATCGGTTTGTCTGAGGACAACCGTCATACTTCCACGCAGGGCCTGACGCCGACGCTGGTATTAGCCGTGCTGTCGTCCGCCGTGGGATCCGCTTTCCAGCATGGCTACCACCTGGGAGTTGTCAACTCACCACAGGAGGTACTTATTGTAGGACCGCAAAAATATTTTTCCGGCAACTGGCCATGGTTCGTAGCGTCAGCTACCGGAAAAGGCAAATGAGGAAAACACTGAAACATGCACTAGTGGAAGTGATCCACTCATGTAGCATGCCCAAGGATCCTCGACCACAATGCACGATACCTTTCAATCAACGATAGTATATGGAGGGCAAGGGCACACACAAGAATTTTCTCGCCTTAGAAAGGAGGCAGGAGGGGGGTGCGTTCCACGATCAATAATGTATGTTGGTGAGTGCATTTGTATGTGCGCGTGAACGTAAAATCGTAAAACATGTAATATCATAAACTTCGGGGATGGCGGGTTGGAGAGGGTGGCACTTCACCTCTCCCTTCTTGTTAAGCCAATAGCAGAGCTATCCGGCTTTCGTTCGTAAACATTTTCCCCAAGATTGTGGGTAGTACATCTGAAAAAAAAAAGGACAAATGGTAATCTATAATGAAAAAGCTCGATGCTTCCACGATGATCAGTCACATTTTAGCCCATTATAGCTTGTATATGAAAGCCAGATAGGAGTGAAATACAACCAAGTGTTTCCTCGTTAATTGAAAGATACAGCCCTAGTACAGCAATCGAATTGATATAAATCCTCCACAACGCTAAGCATGTCTGAAGCTTAGAAGGTACACTCGAGCACCATTTGCGGCAGTCTAGTGATTATGGCGCCCGATCCCATGGTCGCGGGATCGAATCTCGGCCGCGGCGACAGTATTTCGAAAGAGGTGAATTGCTAGAAGCCCGTGTGCCTAGATTTAGGCGCACGTTGGAGAACCTCAGGTGGTCGAAATTTCTGTAGCTTTCCCCTATGGTGTCTTCCATATTAGTGTCGTAGTTTTGAGAAGTCGAACACCGGCAATTAATACTATTTAAAACGCCCGCTTGTCTTGCTGATTACTGTAACGAATTAGGCAAGCCAGCCCTTGAATGTTGGTAATTTTCTTTGCTGTAACACTGTTTATTTTCCATACATACATACATACATACTACATACATACATACATACATACATACATACATACATACATACATACATACATACATACATACATACATACATACATACATACATACATACATACATACATACATACATACATACATACATACATACATACATACATACATACATACATACATACTACATACATACATACATACATACATACATACATACATACATACATACTGCAGCCCATCATGAGTTTTGAGTAAAGAAGACTTATTGAAAGTGTACGAGAAACCTGAGGGAGCTAAACGCCTAGTGAATGTCATTGAAACAGTTTTTTAAGTTTATACTCATTTGCCAGGCATTGCATTATGAGAAAAAAGGGGCAAACGCGTCATTAAGAACTGTGCGGTCTTCAGTAGATTTAATAGTGTGGTAAAGAAAGCAGCTTTCGGTATATAGACGCATCTTAGTGGTTATGTGTTGCAGTGAGTCATTAACGTAAATTAGAAAGAGAACAGGGCCAAGGACTGCACCCTGCGTCACGCCTGATGATATATTAAAAGCGGGGGAGTCAGAATCATTGTATATTGCACATATTGGGAGCGATCTGTTAGAAAACTGACAATCCAGTCTACTAGTTTAGGATTACTTAGAATGAGGATTAGCTTAAATAGTAGTTTATGGTGCACGGCATTGCGAAAGCTTTGGACAGATCTATAAAAGTTCTGGTGCTTTAGCGATGTCATGGTGAATTCCACAAACTGAGTTATGGCGCTAGCACCATGACGGAAACCATATATGCTGTCTGTCGCGTAGTATACTATTGGGTTCCAAGTAATCTATCGTGCATATGTTTGGGAATTACGTGTTAGAGTAGCTTACACAAGCGACTCGGAAGTCACAGAAATTGACCGGTAGTTAGTTAACATCTGTTTGTTACCTGATTTGTGCAATTGCAGAACTTAAGCCCGTCGCCACGAATATACGCAATTTCTAAAGATCTGTTAAAAATGGTTGTAAGGTATTAACGGATAGTGACGAGGGAGTAACGAACAAGGAAAGCATCGCCAATATTGTCAGGACCACGGGACTCCTTGCAGTCTCTCCGCGCGACCGACGCATGCATGCAGGTGCTGGAGACGTTCATCAACGAAACGCTGGCGGAGCGCTACGGCGAGCCGACCCCGCGCAGCGCGGTGACGCTGGTGTTCAGCGTGTTCGTGGCCGTGTTCTGCGTGGGCGGCATGCTCGGAGGCCTGCTCACGGCCGTGGTGGCCGACCGGTTCGGCCGCAAGGGCGGCCTCATGCTCAACAGCGGCCTGGTGTTCGCCGCTGCCGCGCTGCTCACGCTGGCCAGGGGAGCCGCCTCGTGCGAGCTGCTCGTCGTGGGACGACTGGTCGCCGGCGTCAACGCCGGTAAGTGCCATCTGTAGTAGCGATGGGCCTTGTGAATTAAGGCACGGCTATCGCGGAATTCCACTTGTGCGAACCACATATGAGACCTAAGTTCTATAGCAAACTTAATTCCCAGTCTGCTTAACAGACATACGCAGGCCGTAGAAATTATACGGAAATCATTGTACTCGCACTCTCTCTTTCTCTCTCTCAAAAAAAGAATCTTCTCTCCGGTCCCCAAGATCAATAGGTTTTGTATGCACATTGTTACGAGGCGGCGGGCATGGCTGCGCCGTCGTAGACGCAGCGACGAAGAAGAAGGGGAATGGGTGCGCGAGATCCTTGCAGCCCTGGGGTGTCACACCTACCTGTAAATATTGCAAATGCACTCGTTTCTCTCTTCCGTGTGTTTTTAATCCCCGCAACAATATGTTCCTTAATTATCATTATTTGTAGTTTCATAGCTTTCCTTTATTATTGCAATACTATGCACTGTGTCTGTATGTATTAACAATGTATAACGTTGTTTCTGTTTGTCCATGCCATGAGTGTGCATTCGAGTGCTAGGATTCTGTAAGGTATATAGAGCACATCTACTTTTTCCTTTTATATCTAAGACATTCTTTTTCTGTCTGAAATAAAGAGCTGGATTAAATATGCAGCAGCCACTAAAAACTGCACTTCAGAACTTTGTAAAATAAAAGCACCATGCTTGGGCCATCATTATTTGTATAGATATGTCGTGGTATTGGGAATCTCTATTTATTTTTATTACCATTCTTATGTCAAGCATTGTATGTGGAGAAATGATGTGTTTTTTATACTGTCGTCAGTAGTTTCTGCATATAGGGTGACAGTCGCGCAACACGAAACACGTCATCCAAATCACCATGCTTTCAGCACAGTATTTAACAACTAAAGCCTCTTTCTCGTGGTTTAGAATGGAATAATTACGCATTGAGTTAGTGTTAGACCTTTCTTTTTATCCTTACCAGACTTTACTGTCACACAAATTCGTAATTTGTGGAGGACATCGACGTTAAAATAAGCACGCCAACTATTGAATTCGATTAAAACGGTGATATCAGTGTGCGTAAGCAATGGACACCGAAGAAGCCTGATGCAATGCTCCGAACGACTGCCAGGATGCAATGTTCATGTGGAGTCGCTGCTTCACATCTTAAGAGCTAAAGTCATGCATGCGGACTGATTTTGCACAATTGCACAGATTTCTGCATGGTGGTTTATTTCATACGGTAGCTTGAACCGTAACATCGTCTTTTACTTCGACGCTTTGATATGATTGATTGCTATGTGGGGTTTAACATCCCAAAACCACCATATGATTATGAGAGACGCCGTAGTGAAGGGCTCCGGAAATTCGGACCACCTGGGGTTATTTAACGTGCACTCAAATCTGAGCATACGGGCCTACAGCATTTCCGCCTCCATCGGAAATGCAGCCGCCGCAGCCGGGATTCGATCCCGCAATCTGCGGGTCAGCAGCCGAGAACCTTAGCCACTAGACCACCGCGGCGGAGCACTCCGACGCTGCCCGACTAGACAGACGTTCATTGAATTCTTGAGTGCATGCAAAATCACTTTGGTTTATAGACAGTATGTCTATAAACCAATCTGCCACGCAATCGTCACCTAACTGCCCTTTTTTTTTATGTGCTGTCCTCTATCATTTTGGTAGAGGGGGGAGCTTTGCGGTATAATCCGGAGCAACCTCGATTGCCAGAACAAAAGCCTTTGAGATTGAAAGGTGGGCGAAGGCCTGACCACGGCATTTTGCGACTTTCCAGCGAGGGCGAAGGTGCATGCGCCGTGGCACCATGAAAAATGCGGATTTTGTGCCTTGACATCCTATAGCAGAAAGCGAGCTGTAGAGAATGTCCTGAAAACCAGACTTTTCTGGGAGACTCCACGAGCTGTTCGAGCAGCATCCTCGAAGCACTTATCTTTGGTGCCTTGACACCTCTTCAGCTTCAATCAAGAAGGCGCATTATCTCAGTAGCAGAGTGGTACTTCGCATTGGGCTTCAGTCCATTTATCGACGCTCTTCTTGGGAACGGCCCATGCCTATCCGGACACTCAATGCGCTGTGTGAGCACGTAAGAAGTAGAAACGTGCCTTACCTCTGCCCTTTGTATACGGTGTGCTCTGACCACTTCTCGCTAAATGATGTATGCAGTGGTCATGACATGCTCACCCAAGAATTGGCTTTCTTTAGCGAAAAATGGAAGTCATTGTCTATTGTGTTTATAGTAATAATGATATAGTAAGGCCGCGCGCTTTTTTTTTCTTTTTACATTTATTTCATTCGGTTTTCGCCCACAAAGCCAGTCGGGAATGCTCATCGCGAACTGCGACTCATTGTTCGAGAGAGTTTGCGTTTATTGTAGATCGTTCTGTTGAGATTGCGCGCAAACGCTAACACTCGAGATTATTGCAAAGCTTGGGCGACGACCAGTGATAAGGCTGAATATTCGACGGCACATGTATAAATGCCCACACGCTTCGCCATTTGTCAGTTGATCGACGGCCGACAGACTGTTCGCCGCTATCAGTGTCACTGTGTATCGCTGTAATCTGACTTTCCATTTACTGGACACAAGTTTGGCCAAATGAAGTTTCATTTTGAACAAGTCGTCTCTTCGTCAGCGTAACGACTTTGTGACAATATTATTTAGTCTAACATCCCAAAATCACGATATTATTATGAGGGACGCCATATATAGTGGAGGTCTCCGGATATTTCGACCATCTGGTGTTCGTCGCACAGTACACAGGCCTCTACCTTTCACATTAATCAAAATGCGACCACCGCTGCCGCGGTGGTCACATTTATACATACATGACAAAAAATATACACTACACACACACACACACACACACACACACACACACACACACACACACACACACACACACACACCAAGCGAATTTGCGTTTAGAAGTTTAGCATTGTAACAGCATGTGCTGTACGGATCGAAGCCGTCATTTTGTACGTACCATATATAGTTTCAGCTATTGCACATCATTAAGTCTTGATGCCAAGCTGAACAAATGTGAAGCTAAGAATTTAAAAGAAGCAACATGGATGACAATGCTACTGTGCACATGACTTTTCTCAAGACGAGCTTAGTTGCTCAGTTGCAGGTGGTGTGATCGATTGCCGGCTGTGGCAGCCGCATTTCGATGGAGAAGAAGAAGCTTGAGGATATATAGGGTATACTTAGATGCAGGTTTACGTTCAAGACCACCAGATGGTCATAATTTGCGGATTTTTTGGCTACGGCGTATCTCGCAAATACATCGTGGTTTTGGGACATTTAATTCTGACTGCTATTATGATTAGGTGTGCCGTGACGCCGTGGAAACACGCTATACCATAGCAGACAGCGATGTGCGTACGCGAAGAATCGTTCATTCTCGCGTCGTGTCGTTCAAGCTGCGCGATGGTTTTCGCAAATTCCATCGTCATTCGTGAGCACTCAAGAGTTATCTGCTGCCTCGTTTACGGAGCCCTTAAGAGGAGACCAGCGATAAGATTGCCCACGTGGCAAGCGGGACGTTTCTCGGACGTGCCAAGCGTGTCCGGCTTGACTCGCTCGCGCATTGTTGGCAAGAGAAAGCAAGCTGACAACATCACCGCAAGCCAGGAACTGCGTGGAGACATCAACATAGATCACGGGTTTCGAGCTCCGCCACGGTTACGGGTCCTGAGCCTGGCCTTTGATTTCGCTCCTTGGCAATGACCAAGGTGGGATCTTGGCTGACGCGACTGAATCTCAGATCATGACACACGACACCAGCTGGCGAGAAAGCGACGAAAGAATCAGCCTAGTACGCTGCAGACACCGTCCAACATAATCTTCACCTCAGGTGAAGGTCGAGATAACGGACGTTAAGTGCGCAATAAGATAACGGACCAGCACGCGTCGGCGCAGCTGCAATACGCTTCAACTCTTCTTTGACGGTACATTTTCGTCATGCGTTTTTTTTTGTTTAAGATATAAACCAAGTCACGCGATCAGCACAAGCGGGCAAGGGGTTCCTCATTTAGGAGAAAGGGGGATTTAAAGTTTCCCCGCAGTGATTTCCCATCGTTCATTGATCGAGTGCGAAAAATAAAAGGAGCTTAATTGGATGCCACAATTAAGATGACGTGATGACGCGCTCCTCCCACAGGGCTTCTATTGGTCCTCGGCATTCCGGGGTAAAGGTGGCAAGTAGTGTTTGAAAGCGAGAATGTGACGTCTGTTGTCCTTGGCTGCCATTATCGTGAAAAAATATGTCCACCCATAACCCAGCGCATCAAAAAAAGTGACGTGAAAGTAATGACTGAGTAAATGCGCGGGCAATTGGCGCCCGCTTTTGATAATATAGTGGACTGCGGCTGGGTGTTGCATATACGCGACGATACCTATGCAAGATTGGACAGGAGCGAAATCATAACTGCAATTTGTGTCACACACCAGAGACTATTAATTACATCCTGAGCTTGTGCCCTCTATACGCAGTCGAAAGACAATCTCTTAAGCGCCTCACAGATGACCTAGACTGGCGACCCAAGTTCGGAAGAGAAACTTTTGGGTGGTTGGGAACGTGTGGATCACGCCCAACGCAACTTCAAGGGCCTGCTCACATTTCAAAGCAGGAGAGGTTTACATTCCCGTCTTCAGAGCATCTGCTAATGTAGAGACTTTTGTGCATGTCCTACACCGAACGAGACATTGTGTGCAGCGACTCATTGTGCTATATCAGAATCACCCCTCATCATGCCCTCCTTTTTCTCTTTATTTTCTATTCACCCTTACCCCCGTGAAGAGTATTAGGCTAGAAACCTGCTTTCAAGGCCGACCTTTTCTCCTTCTTTTAAATCATCATCATCATCATCATCATCATCATCATCATCATCATCATCATCATCTTCTTCTTCTTCTTCTTCTTCTTCTTCTTCTTCTTCTTCTTCTTCTTCTTCTTCTTCTTCTTCTTCTTCTTCTTCTTCTTCTTCTTCTTCTTCTTCTTCTTTTGTGCCACCCCCCCCCTCCCTTTGCCACCCCATGTGCGATTGCCCATGGCGATCAGCACCTTGCAAGCAAGCAAAGACGGATGTGCATAAATATTTGTCTGCATCAATGGCGTCACTGTATGGCCTTTCCAAGAGTTTACACTCAATGCTGGAACCTGTTCATGTTCTAAATTAATATCACATGAATAATGATGAAAAAGAACGCTTCTTTTAATGTTACGATGATACTGCTTACAGGGTTGATCCTAATAATAATGGTGACCATGGTATGCAAGTACTTCAGCAACACTATACAAGGCGAAGAAGTAGCAGGTCTGGAATGATGGTGCTGGGACACTCCGCAATGAAATGACGGTGAATAAAATAATACGTGGCTTTCAAAACAGGTTCACGCGGGCATCGAATTCCATTGATCTGACTTCCTTATCATTGACATTGCTCGAGTTCCGCACCAAGTCGAGCTGATAGTGTCTTTTCCCTTGGTGCACAGATTTTGTTCCACTGTGGTATCAAACACATGAAATTGATTGTGAAGACCATTGCCAGCATAAATGCCGCGTAGACATGATATAAGAAATGGTCGATGGACGACTGCATGCGAACAAAAAATCGGGCTGCGCGCTGATAGACACTTCGATGGTTCGTTGATCAGTCAGTCGAAAAGGTAAATAATTGACTGAAATAAATATTGCAATAGGGAGCAAATTAGTGAGTTAGTCAACACTTGTAACATATATTATGGAAATGTAGCTAAATGCTGGTGTGCCTCTATAGGCGTTACAGCTCTAGACGAGGAGCTCACGTGTGCCATAAAACTGCGGGTCAGGATGCAGTTTTCAGACAGCTTTCAGTCGACAAGAAAATATGAGGTCAAACCACTACCCTGCATAGAAGTACCACAGAAGGATAGTAGTAATGGCATAATATAAGGAAACAGATTGGTTCCAACGTCGGGGGGGGGGGGGGGAGCTCTGAGGACGCTCGCACAGGCCAGTTGACACCAATAAACAGTAATATTTTTGCGCCCTGCACCTGGAGGATAGCGTGAATTCTGCATAACTATTTGTCTTCGAATAGGTTGCTCATTCTACAATTTTTATAAGATTTGATTGTCTAAACACGATACAGCGGGAAGTGGCATAGCAGATGGTCTACATGTTGTGTGTGGCAACATCGGTCACAACAAGAAAGAGAGAGAGAATAAATTGAGAGAAAGACAGGGAGATCAATCAGAATTGTAGCATCCGCTTTGCTACCCTGAACTAAAAGGAGGTGGAAGAAAGATGAGAAGGAAAGCGGAGAGAAATAATCGATGCCCCTATATATGACAAAAACTCGTGAATGTTTCTGACCCGAGTGCGTTATTCGCTGTGATTATGGGAGGATAGTGCGAGAGTATAGTGCTTTCTAACAGCTGTTGATGTGAATAAATGACACTTGCTGGCACATTTTATCCGAGAAATGGAAGTAACCGTGTCCTTATAGGCACCAAACGACAGTTTGACTGCACTAAGCAAACAGCAGTAAGTGATCGGTTTGTGAAGAGCTGACGCAGACAATGCCAATGTTTCGCAGGCCTCACAGCGGGGCTGGCTCCCATGTACCTGACCGAGATATCACCGGTGCGCTACCGGGGCGCGGCTGGCACAATATACCAGCTGGTGCTCACGCTATCCATCCTGCTGGCACAGCTGCTCGGCATCCCGCAGATCCTGGGAAACGACGAGCTGTGGCCGTATTTATTCGGCAAGTGTTCCCTCTTTGCATTAGTGTAGTTAAGGTGTCATAGAGTGTAATCTTTAAAGCGTGTAGATGTATTTGTTATTTATCATTTCAGCTGAAACAAACATGTACACTGGGAGGGGAGGGGGGTCATAGGTTCCTAGGCCGCTATCCCGTGTATTCATATGGCAGCGTGGCCTGGGAACGTTTAAACCCCTCCCCCCGTACTTCATGTCATCACGTGGTATAGACAGTACCAATTCAATTGCCACGTAAAAACATAACTAAAGATAGAATGATAATATCAGTTGTAAACGCTAATGTTTTGACGTCAGTCACGTGATGTATTTGCGGGCTCACAAGCTACCGCTGGCTGCGCACGCGCCAACAGCTGTGATATGTGCTTGCATATTGCATAGAGTATCGTTATTAGCGTTCTTTTGTTCTGTGCTCTTGGGCTGAGGCTACAGTGTGCACTTTGATAATAGAATGCCTACCACCCTAACTACCCTGCGTCCCGTATCATGCTACAACAAGTGAGTGCCAGGCAAACCTCTTGCTTGCAATTCTTTCGACACGGTAGTATTCCACCTGTGTGGTGGTACACTTTGGCTGTGGTACCTAAATTCGTCGCAGATTCTTTCCACATTCAAGAGGGCAGCAGCTACGTACGTGGCTTAAAACATGTCCTAAACACATGTCGAACTTGTGCGCAGACGATTCGTACTCCGTCTGTTTTTTTTTTTATTTACTGCACAAATGCCGTGGAGGGCTGACAGCAGACCTATTCATTGGTGGTTGTCTCATTCGGAATATACGTGGGCCTAAACAGCCCCGTCTTGGTCCTAAAGCATGAGATTTTTAATCGACAGAAAAAGTACTGGAGATCATAGGCTTGGTCCCGGGGACAAGAGGTAGCCCCCCCCCCCCCCCCCTGCCTCTTCTCGATCATTTAAGGGGGCGTGGTGAAGTCTGCCTCATATGTTTCCTCAGTTACACCAGTCCCGTTATTGTTGAGAGCAGGGTTATGTGCACGATGGCTTTTCATGTGAGAAGCACGTAAACACTTTATATTGTTTTATTCTTGATTCATTTCGAAGCATTTTGCACTTGTATAACAAAAAATGGGGGAGGAGGGGGGGCTGGGATAAAACTCACCCCCCCCCCCCCAATAGGAACCCTGCCCACGCCTATGCTGCAGTGTGGAGTGCAAATCCACGTCGGTATCATAGTAGCTATGGCTTTGTGCTGCTCAGGCAGCATGCACTCATGGCATGGCTATAAAAGCAACGGGTTTGACTCAGCCACGGTGGCAGAATTTTGATTAGGTAAGATTCCAGAGCACTCGTGTCCATAACTTTACGATCACATTATAAAGAAACCTAGATGTTAAAAAAAATGGAGCCTTTCCCCCCTAATTGCGCAACCTTATACAGTCAGATCATGGCTTTTCGCACCGACTGCGGTGTAGTAGTTTCGTGTTACTCGTGTATACCCCGTTGCACGCTCAAGGCTAACGCATATCTCACATGCTGAGGAGGTCGTGGTCGCGTGCGATGCTAAGGTGTCATCGCTCATGTCGGTGATTAGCCGACAGCAGACGTGCGTATCTACATTGCGTAAGTACATGCTGTCTGAAAAACAGGCGGCGATAAAGATGCCTCCTCAAGGACTTGGCTTAAACGAAAACAACTACTCGGAAATGTTTTGGCAATGCCCAAGAGTCTCGTTCTCGCAATGCGCGCTTTCTCGGGTTACCCTCACGTGAATAATCGCTATTTTGGTATGACATTTCGCAGCGATACTAAAAACAAGATAAGTACAGGAAATACACATGTAAGGCTATATGAAAGCTTCATATTAATGAAAAATCATAAAATTGACTATTCACGCTCACACACACAAAATTGACAGAACACTCAAGCATTGGATGGAGACGCTGAAATATTTATAGTTTATTTGTTTGCTTCCTTTGCGTTTGTTTGTTAAGCTGATTTGTTTTTCTTGATTTCTTTTTCGATCAGAAAGCGACGTAGTACATCACGTACCTCCCCAACTGCTTAATGTGGGTAGAAGCAGCATAAAACTGACATGGGCTTCATAATCAAACCATGACGCCGGTCTCTGATCATCTGCTTTCTCGTTCGCAGCGCTCACTGTGGTGCCATCGGTGCTGATGGTAGTGTCGCTGCCTTTCTGCCCGGAGTCGCCCAAGTACCTGCTTCTTGTGAGGGGGAGGCCCAAGCAAGCTGAGGAGGGTGAGACGCCTCAGAGCCCACCGGCGCCTGCGCGATAAAAAGAAATCAATGACCTGCACGTGACGTCATATACACAAAGCATGACAACCACATGGCACCTTAGATTATGTCAAGGCAGTGTGATCACGAGCTGGCTAATCTGATTCAGTTAGATAATAACGTCACTGGAACGTTATTGGGTCACTCTGCTTTAACAACGAAGAACCCAGCATGTGATGTATTGATAACACTGTCGTGATATCACAAAGTTCGCGTTCCACCATGTTAGTGCTACAACTGAGTTATCTCACTGACATCAATGCAACGCTTTTCTTGTTTTGTTTTTCTCCCGAAGGAAGCAGCGAAAAAAATTGCCACGCTAAGCTAAGCCTTAATTGTATTATTTATTATAAACATTTCTTTTGTGTCGTTCGTGCTTTTGCATATTAGATGAAAATTGCTCAATTTCTTTCTTTTCAAGTGTATTTCTCTATGGAACTTAATAATTCTGTTAGAAATTTCTCCTTGTTGCATTTTTTATATATTTTTTAATATTGGTACTGCAAATTGGTGATGACTGTAATGTGTTATTTTAAAACGTATGTGTCGACATCTGTTATACTTGTTGAATTTGAGTTTTGTGTCCCCTCATTCAAAAGCAGAATGAAATTTGTATCTTTTGTTCCACTTCACCTGAGCAAATGTATGGGTGGAGGGACCTTAGACCTTGGCGCCAACAGTTAGGTGCTGTGCCTTAATATACCACAGGTGTTCAAAACTGATCTGCCCCTACGGCGTGCCTCGTAATCACATCGATATTTTGGCACATAAAGCCACAAATATGAAAATGTTATTTACTTTATACAGATAGAATATTTCGATCTCATACTGTCACGAGTTTGTCAAATAAGCAACGCTGTTCTAACTTTAATATTAGGGGCGAAGCTCCTTAGGGCGTGGGTTGTGCGTCCCCTGTAGCCTGTATGTAGCCACCTCTAGTTTAGTTCTTGCAGTGTTCACTAGATGGTGGTACCGTCCCCTGTATGTAGCCACCTCTAGTTTAGTTTTTGCAGTGTTCACTAGATGGCGGTACCGTCTCCTGTATGTAGCCACCTCTCGTTTAGTTCTTGTAGTGTTTACTAGATGGTGGTACTTGTAGCTGATGATGAAAAGATGCAAGATGTTATAAACTAGAAAGCGGTACTTGTAGTTGATGAAGGACGCGAGATCTTATAAAATAGGAATGATGTCACATATGGCGCGTGTCATTGGTTGAAGGCAATCGTTCGATTTAGTGCGGCGACGTACGCTAGGGGGAGCGATGTAATAAAATCCGTTCGCTGTTGGCGCGCGCTCGGATTCGCCGGATGGATAAGGCTGCACAGCGGAGAGAGCGCAAGGCGGCAGCAGCGCGCGCTCGCAGACAGAATCCCGATGTGCGAGCGCGCGAGGCAAGGGACATCGCAAGCCATTCATCGTCTAAGAACAAATAAAAGTTGATTTGTGTATATACACACACAGCGTTTCTCACGTCTTTACATGATGATCGACTGGGCGAATTACACGGAAGATTCACAGTTTACCGATGAATCCCTCCGGAGCTTCGCCCATTCATCATCATTCACCCCGTGAATATGCCGTAATTTTTTTTTTACTTAAAATGATAGCGATCAAGACCTTTTATTTTTTGACAAAAGAAGGCGTTTAGATAATGTAGAAAGTGAGCAGGGTTAAATTCGTAGGAAACGTGATGTGCTGTTATTATTAGGAAATAGACGGCGGAATTATTATTCATATCTTATGTAAACAAAATAACTACGTAAAGGTTATTGTGCCTGTGTTGCTAAGACAATAGGATGTAACATCGAATAAGTAATTAATATGTGGGGTTTAACGTCCCAAGTCCGCCATATGATAAGAAAGACGTCGTAGTGGAGGGCTCCGAAAATTTTGACCACCTGGGGTTTTTCAACGCGCACCCAAATCTAAACACACGGGCCTACAGCATTTCCGCCTCCATCGAAAATGCAGCCGCTGCATCCGGAATTTGATCCCGCGACCTGCGGGTCAGCAGCCGAGTACCTTAGCCACTAGACCACTGCGCAGGGGCAACATCAAATAAATAATTAGGAAGTTGACGTCAATCGAAGCTACAGCGAAACATTGACTGTTTCTTGTTTCACTTCTCGACAGCTCTTGTCCGGCTCCGTGGTACACGTGACGTGGACAAGGAGATGGCAGTCATGAAGAACGAAGCCGAAGCTGCCGAATTCGTGCCAAAGGTGAGTCACGCTACCTTTTCGCACCTTTCGCGTTAGCTTCAGAAGCCGATTATTCCGCGTATTGATCTTGGAGATGATTTGCGATTTCTGGTGCATTGCACGCATCAACTTTTGAGGAAAGAGGTTTCGAGAAGACGTCGTGGGGGCCAGTAGAAAAAAAATAATTAACAAAAAGTGGAAAAAAAATTGCAATGGCGAAGGCACTGTTCTGGTACCAACGCCACGCATTTCAACTTGAAGCCATGACTTCACCTGGCCAAGCCCAAGTGAAGTAACGAGTAGCGTGAACACTGTGTGTTACATCATTAACAAGACACTAACAAACCGCGTTGTGCTATAGCGTCAGCCGTTCAAGTCAAGTCATGGCCTCAACGTAAATCGCGGGCTTGAGTGCAAGCAGAACTGTTTTAACACGCGTGTTCCCACGGGAAGGGAAAACCGGTGTGTTGATTGCGCTTTCTGAGCGTAGCTTTTACAGCTCACAGATTTTGACATCGCAAGCGAGAAGTCTGGGCCAGCGAGCTCACTGAAGTGCGCCGGCCAGATACGTGTTTGTGTGTGCCGTTTTTTGGTAAATGATGCTCGCCTCTCGATCGTGGACTCGTCGTCGATCAACCGTTTCTGATACGTCAGTTTGATCTGTTATGGACGCCCCTTGTCGTTCCTCGTCTACACGTTTCATTGTTGCCTGGATATTGACTCATGACCGCCATTCTTTCCTGTAGCGATTGAAGTGCGGCGCAGCTAAACCCTTGCGCAGATGAGTGTCCGATTGCTGTTATGAAGAAAGGAAACAGTAACGAGGGAATATTGCGCATTGGGAAAAAAAAGAGAGAAAGAAATACAAGAAAAAGAATGAAAGAAATTTAGAGTGTCAGGTAGACACACACCACGCTTCGCTTGCCTCCATTTTTCGGGGGGGCAAATGCTCGTAATTTTTTTTAATGATTCTCGTAACATTGTTGGTTAGCCATACTATCTAGCCACTATAGCCGTACTTTGCGCTTGTCCCTGTGTCTTCTCATCGATAAGAGAGTGCTCACAGGGATTTGATATATTAGCTCAAGTGTAAATTGACGAATTGCCGTACCACGTGCTGAGTTTTCATGAACGTCAAATGTTTTCCGTTCTCAGGTGACTCTGCCAGAGATGATTCGCAACGCATCACTTCGAGCGCCACTTATCGTCTCCTTAATGGTCATGCTGGCACAGCAGCTGTCCGGCATAAACGCGGTGAGTCTTGCGACGCTCATTGTTTGTCTATACAAGCCGTTACGTACCCGTGACTCCGAGATCAATATTCCGCTGCCAAAAAAGCCACGGAACGCTCGGTATTCACCTGGATCGGATTACCTAACTTTTGTTTAATTATTGATGCAGTTTACGGGAGATGTTGGTCCCGCTGCCACACCCGGCTACTGCTCTTTCCATTATACAGATTACTACAACCCCAATATAAGATAATAATAATAGTTATAAGTGATTGAGTTTAACGTCCCAAAACTAAGGTATTATTATGAGGAACGTCACAGTGGAGGGCTCCGGAAATTTCGATCACATGTGGTTTTTAACGTGCATGCATCTAAGACTAAGTGTACGGGCCTCAAGGATTTTCGCCTCCTTTGCAAATGTGGCCGCCACGGCTGAGATTCGATACCACGACTTTCGGGTCAGTGGTCGAGTACCTGAACCACTACACTCTAAAAAAATATCGTGTAAAAAGGGTGTCTTTTTGTCCCACAACAATAATCGTCATCTGTACTGCGTTCCATCCTTGCGCTATCGCCCCGCGCCTGGTACATTCCGGTCGCGATCGACATGCCCATTATCAGGGTTACATTGCATTGTAGATAGGAAAGTGGCCAGCGCCGAGTTTTTAAGAAAGGAAGCGCACGCAAGTCTGATGACGATTATTGTTGTGGGACAAAAAGACACCCTTTTTACACGATATTGTTTTCGAGTGTAGAACACCATGACCAGTCATAGTAAGGGATTGAAGATATATGACAGCACAGGCAACCGCCTCAAACCCTGCCAAGTTCTGAACATTTGTAAATAAGAGTACTGAAGGGACACCAATTTTTAATGCATTTTATCCCGTTTGTTTAACATTTAAGGTATAACAAAAGAAAGGGTAGTGCGTCTAGCGCCAAGTTTTTTTTCCTGGTTATACACAGTCATATAACACCAACAGGTAATAATGCAAAAGAACGCATAAGGGGTGTTGTCTGATTTTCAATTAAAGTGAGATCATTTCGCTACGAAGAAAATGAACTAAAGTTGACGGAAACGAAAGAAAGGTACAACTCGCGGCAAGTAGGAGCTGTACTCACAAAGTTCGCAGTGTCATGCGAAGGTTCTGCTTCATGGTGCGTTGCATATAAGACCCTAAATTATCATCTACCAGTCGAAAAACTCCGCCCTTAGTTATGGTCGTTGCGTCACCACATATCATTCACGCGCTGATTACAAAACACAGAATGAATACTTTGTTCGAGTAAAATATTTTCCCGTCTTTACTTTTTCATTTAATCAGTGTTTCGTGACAAGGCAAGTGGAGAGTGTCGTAAGCCTTTGTTTTCGCCCTCGTGTGGTGAGAATCAATGAATCCGGGAATGTTAACGGTGCTTGTGCGAAAGAAACGTGCCACTATATATGACTGCGCCACGCTTGAAATGTGTGTTTAGAGAAGAGCAGGCTAGTTTAGACTTTACGACGTTCGCAGTCATCTTGGTATAAGACCTCGATGTACTGCAGAGTGCAACAACCGAGACACTAATATATTTACAGGGTGTCCAGCTATCTTCAACCAGAGTTTAAAAATATGCCGACACACGCAACGAAGACGCGACCAAATGCATGTTGCTGACCGTTGCTTTGAGTGAGTCAGGCTATTCTTTGTGTTCTGATTTATTGCCTAATGAGGTCACTTTTATTAACTAACTTTTTAAGCTACGAAAATGGGCTGGACATTTCAATGATAAAGTTGGTGATCGGTTTGCAAAGCGTCTGAATAGACGGTTTCGAGGTTTATATGTGTTAATTTTTAGTGTTTTTATGCTAAATGCTAATGTCCGCGAAAAGCAAAAAAATACCACGTGGCCAGCCCGCTCGCGCGCCAGTGCGCACGATGATTCTAGTGCTCCCTGAAGTTCCGCGGACGAACGACGCATTCGCTCGATTGTGCTGTCTCGACAGGTCCGCAACGATGGTGGTGGCTTTGCGATGAACACGTTTCGCTTTCGACTACAAAAGTGATAACCGGTACATGTGACTGCTTACCACTGTCATTATTAAACCGGTGCGAGGAAAGCGTATCATTCGTAAGCGGAACGTTGGGGAGCACCAGAATCACGGAGCGCGTGTACACATGCCATGGGTTTGTCACGGGGTATTTTTGTTTCATTTGATTGATTGATTGATATATGGGGTTTAACGTCCCAAAACCACTATATGATTATGAGAGACGCCGTAGTGGAGGGCTCCGGAAATTTCGACCACCTGGGGTTCTTTAACGTGCACCCAAATCTGAGCACATGGTTTTGTTTCATTTCGCGGGCATTTGTAGTTAGCAAAAAACGCTAATAATATACAGATATAAACTTTGAAACTGTCTCACGCGACGTTTTGCAAACCGATCTACAAATTTCTAATTGAAATTTTTCACCCAGCTGCGTTCCTTCAAACGTTAGATAAAAGGATCTAAATGAACAATCGACCAGAACACAAAAAAATTGTCTGATTCACTCCAGACAATGGTCAGCAACATGTATTTTGTCGCGTCGTAATTGCGCGTTGGTTGCAAAACTTTATTGAGGTCCTGCAAGGCGCGCGTCAGCGCGCAGCGGGCGACTCCCACGTCGGGACCGTTAGGCCAAGCCTATCGGCCACTCCGCGGGCCTGCTGGACGGCCCAAAGTTGGTCGGCCAGGAGGGAGCTGCGTAGGGCCGCCTCCCACCTGACCGATGTAGTGTTGGGGTTAGTGTACATTGCCTTGCACTCCCAGAGCATGTGCGCCAGCGTGGATACATCCCCACATTCGGGGCAAGCGTCATTGGGAAACACGTCCGGATAAATAGCGTGAAGGGATCTCAGGTTAGGGTACGTGTCGGTCTGCAGTAGCCTGAGCGTAAGGGCCTGTGGCCTATTAAGATTTGGATAAGGGAGTGGATATAGTCTCCGCGCGAGGTAAAAATATTTTGTTATTTCGTTGTACGTGGCAGGCGCGTCCCTGTTTTCCGCAACCCCGTTGGCCCCGAATCGTTGCCCGGAACCCGCGCGGTCGGTTAGTGCGCGCGCGGCCTCGTGGGCAGACTCGTTGAGGTTGTGGGGAGCGCCTTGGACCTTTCCAACATGTGCAGGAAACCAAATCAGTACGTGGTGCTCGATACCGTCGCGGCAACCACTTTGGAGCACGCGCAGGGCTTTTTTTGGAGATTACACAGCGCTCGAAAGCGCGAATAGCTGACCTAGAGTCACTATAGATGGCCAGGGCGATGGCCACTTGCTCGGCAATCGTCGGATCGTCAGTGTGAACCGATGCGCAGTTGGTGATTTGTTGTTTGGAGTCGACGACGACTGTGGAAAAGGCGCGGTTCCCACGGTACGCTGCCGCGTCGACAAAGCTGACGCCGTGCTCCTCACTGTGAATTTGCTTGAGAAGAGTGGCAGCTCTAGCCCGTCGCCTACCACGATTGTGCTCGGGATGGATATTCCTCGGTATCGGTGCCACGGTGATGAGGTCACGAATCTCACGGGGCACCTGTCTCATCTTCTCGTCCACTTCAGCCGGAGAGTGACCGAGCTCTCGGAGTATATGTCTGCCGGTCTGGGAGCTCGAAAGGCGCGCGAGCTGGGCCCGCTCCTGCGCTTCGGCAATCTCCTCCAGCGTATTGTGTACTCCGAGCTAGAGCAGGCGCTCGGTGCGCATCCTGATCGGGATACCGAGGGCCCGCTTGGTAATCTTTCTGTGCAAGACGTTGATCTTGTCACGCTCGGCACGCTGCCAATTGTGCATGGCCGCGACATATGAAAAGTGGCAGAGCACAAAGGCATTGACCAGGTGGATTAGGTTGTCTTCCTTGAGGCCTTGGTAGCGGTTGGCCACCCGCCGAACCAGCCGAACCGCGTTATCCGTCTTGGCGGCGAGCTTGAGTATAGTCTTGCCGTTGGAACCATTGGACTCGGTGGTCATGCCGAGGACCCGAATGGAGTCGACTCTGGGTATTGCGCTGCCATCTCCGGTGTAGAGCTTGATATCACTCTTCGAGATCGGCTGCCAGTTTTTGGGCTTGGGCCCTCGCCTAGTGGGTTGGTAAAGGAGGAGCTCGGACTTGCTTGGGGAACACCTCAGGCCTGTGGGACTGAGGTAATCTTCCGTGGTGTCTATGGCCTCCTGCAGGGAGCGCTCGACTTGCCCGTCGCTGCCACCTGTGCACCAAATGGTAATATCGTCCGCGTAAATTGTGTGGTTAATGCTTTCGATACATGAGAGCCTCTTGGACAACCCGACCATGACAATATTGAACAGGGTGGGCGATATCACTGACCCCTGTGGCGTGCCGCGCGATCCCAGCTCTATCTCCTCGCAGACAAGGTCTCCCACACTGAGGGTGGCTCTCCTACGGGTCAAGAACGATTTGACATATTTGTAGAATCTGACTCCAAGGCCGAGCTCAGCAATCGACCGCAACACGAAAGAGTGAGTAACATTGTCGAAGGCTTTCTCTAAGTCGAGGCCGATAATGGCCCGCATGTCTCGAGTGTTGCAGTCGATGACTTGGTGCTTGAGCAGCTTCATAGCGTCTTGCGTCGAAAGCTTGGCCCGAAAACCAATCATAGTGTACGGGTAGAGCCCATTGTCTTCTAGGTACCGAGTCAACCTATTGAGGACCACATGCTCGGCTACCTTTCCCACGCAGGATGTGAGCGAAATGGGGCGCATTTTGTCCAAGTTGGGTGACCTCCCCGGCTTAGGAATGAGCACGGTGCGTGCGACCTTCCACGGGTCGGGGACCTCGCCGCTCTTCCATGCCTCGTTGATGACCTCGGTGAGGTAGTCGATGGACCGGTCGTCCAGGTTGCGCAGGGTCTTATTAGTTATGCCATCGGGGCTCGCGGCAGACCTTCCATTGAGCCTGTAAAGCGCTTGCCGAACCTCTTCTTGGCATATCTCGGCGTCTAGTTCAGTGTTGGCCGGTCCTGAGTACTCGGGGTACGTTGTTGCGGGGTTCGAGTAAACAGGGAGGTACTTTTGCACCAGCTGCTTCAAAACCTCCTCTTCTGAAGAGGACTGCTTGGCTTCGTGCATGGCTCGCGCTAGTACGTTCCGCTGGTTAGTTTTGGTGTTAGTCTCGCTGAGCAGGTGCTTCAGCAGGTTCCATGTCTTGCCATTACGCATCTGGCTATCTACCGAGTTGCACACCTCGTCCCACTGCTGCTTGGAGAGGACGCGACAGTGCTCCTTGATGGTCTTGTTTAGGTCGGAGATTATCTTGCACAACCTGCGATTGAGGCGCTGGCCTTTCCAGCGGGCGAGAAGTGACTGCTTGGCCTCGAGCAGGTGGGCAAGGCGGCTATCCATTTTTTCAACCGGAAGGTCAGTACTAATATTTTTCGTGGTACTTATGACGTCCTCTCTGAGCTGGCTAATCCCCTCCTGTAGGCTTGGCCTGGTTGCAGGTAGGGATCGGTCGTTGCGGACTTTGCGAAACTGGTCCCAGTTTGTCCAAGAAAACTCCGGTGCCCTCTTTCGGACCACTAAGAACTGCGTCACCAGGACGTGATGGTCGCTACCTAAGTCAGTGTTTGAGTTAGCCCACTGTACATCGGGGAGATTCTTGACGAAGGTCAAGTCGGGAGTGGTGTCTCTGCATGATGGGGTGCCCAACCGAGTTGGAAAGGCCTTGTCGGTGATTAGAGTCAGGTCCATGTCCGTCGCGTTCTGCCACAGTTCCGCGCCCTTACTGGTATTGTACGGGTAGCCCCAAGTGTAGTGCGGAGCATTAAAATCGCCCGCCACAACCAGGGGGTTGGGACCTGCCAAGTTGACGGCCTTCTTTATGAGGGCCCTGAAGCGCTGCCGTCGGTCCTTAGGGCTACTGTACACGTTGAGAAAAAAGATGCTGCTTTGGTCCGAGCTGCGCGGCAGAATCTCGGTCATGACATATTCGGCGCTGCTGGTGGCCATTTTGAGGTCGTGAGAGATGTGTGTAAGCTTGTTACTGACCAAGGTGCAGACGCCCCGGCCATCAGAATAACGCGAGACGGGCTTGTAACCAGTCAGTGTGACGTTTGGAGTTAATGTTTCCTGAAGCAGAATGACGAGGGGTTTTTCGCTAGAGTATCGAATGTACTGCTGCATGGACGTCTTTTTACTAGGGAAGCCCCTGCAGTTCCATTGCCAAATAAGAAACGTCTCACTTGGCCATCTTGGTGCTTTTGTGGGCTGGTGCTGCCCTCAGATTGGCTAAGAATAGCGTGGATGATGGGGCCCGTAGGGCCGGGCTGGGGTTGTAAGACGGCGGTTGAGGTCAGAGCTGGTTTCACTACGCTTTCGAGAAACGACTCTACCTTAGATACTCGGTCGTTTTGCGCGGCCAGGGTTGGGCGAAATTCTCCCCGAGCTTATTGATGCTTTCACTGAGCGCGGATAGCGTGTCTCGAAGCTCAGACCTGACTCGAATCGCTACACCTTCCTGTTCGTAGGCGACGGCCCTCTTCTTGGGAGCACTTTGACCCTCACTGCTGCTGTCGCCGGGTTTAGTGCTGTGCATCTCCATGGGTAGGGGCATTGTATCGACGACACATGCGGCGGCGGGTTGCGGTGGTGGGTTTCTCGCGTTCTTAATCTTAGCAATTTCGGACATAAGCCTGTTTATGGTTTCCTTCATCGCTGCGTTCTCGCGTTTCAGCTGGGAAATCTCGCGCGCGCTCTCCGCATGCTCTGGGAGTGACCCCGACAGTACCTCAGCTGGCCCTCCTCGGACCGTGTCGGCCCAGGTTATAGAGCCCGACTTCTTGCTTCTCGCTGACACCCCGCTAGGCTGCTGTTGACGCCCGGTAGACCTGGATCGAGACCTGAAGCGGCTCCCAGACTTGTAGCGCCGGGCTTCTCCTCGGGACCAGGAGCGGCTCCTGGACCGGGAACGGCCCCTGGAATGGGACCGAGAACGTCGCCTGGAACGGCCCCCGGAACCACGTGACTGCTGGAAGTCTTGCCCATCCGTGGGGGGTGATGGTGGCGCCGTGGCTTGGCCTTGATCGGTGGCGCGAGACTTTTCCCAGCGCCTTCGTCGCACGACATACGGGATCTGGAATCTTTGCCTACAGTCCTTGTCAGCCGTGAGGTGTTGCCCACCACACAGCCTGCACTTGGGGGTACACTTGTGTTGTGCGTCAGGATTTGAAGCCCCACAGCCCCGACATACGACGTCGCCTGGGCTGGGACACACATCAGGACGGTGACCGAGCCGACCACAAGCGTAGCAAATGTCTATTTTCTTGCGATAAAGCGAACATTGCACAAATGTGGGGCCGTAGCGTACAAAGTTTGGGACTCTATGACCGTCAAAGGCGACGATTACCGTACCGGTGCTGCCTATGCGCTTGGCTGCCAGGGCGAGCGGATTTCTTTCATTTACGATCTTGTTGTCAATATAATTCGGGCCGTCTACGAGTGGAATACCTCGGATCACGCCCTTGCACGTGGAATGAGGGGCGGCCTCGTAGGCACTGACCTCGTATGTTCGGCCCATGACGACGATCTGCCGAACTTTGACGTAGTGGTTGGCATTTTCCCTTCTAGGTGTGCTGACAACCATAATATTCTGCTGCACGTTGGGGCATAGCGTGTCGCCCCGCAAATCTTCGGTGCAGATGCTTGTGGCTGCCAGGATTGCATCAGCCACCACAGTGCAGCCGGTCTTGACAATATTGAGGCCTCCGTGGGGCCGAATCGCGATCTTCGTATCCTCCCTGGGGAGCTGGGGCATCCGGCCAGCGCGGATGATTCTAGCCTTGATTTTATTGCCACTGTTGCGGCCTCGCGGGGCTTCGGCCGTTGTCGACTTCGTCTCGTTGAGAGTAGCACCCTTAAGATTAGCGCCTGCCGAGCGCGCGCCAGCTCTTCTGGCGCCTGCAGACTCCCAACCTCGGTCTTCTGTCACCTCTTCGGGGGTTATGTCCTCCCCCACCACCTGATATTCCATTCTTTTCTGAAAATAAGCCCTGAGAAGAGCGAAAAGGGCACCCGGGAACGGCGACGCGGCTGGCGTCGCGCCGACGTGGACTAACCTCGTTAGGCATAGCCCAGGCGGTGGCCGGCTCCGGAGAAAAACGTTCCAAAACGTGAAAATAGTCCACTCACACAGCAGGTTTTGGCATCAAAATAGTCCTGACACTTTCACTGATGCGACACAAACAAAGCTGAACGCGCACTCGAAAAATTCACTTGAAGATCATTGTAGAAAGCAGGAGCCACTCGAAGGTCGTATGAACAACACAGACGCCGCGCCGCGTCCTCTAATTGCGCGTGTCGGCATATTTTTAAACTCTGGCTAACGATCGCTAGGCCTCCCTGTATGACCCGCTTGATAGGGAGCATTGTGGGTAACTGTGGTACGCTCCTCTTGATGATGACGCCTGTCGATCGGCACGGTGCCTTTTTGGTTATCGAGAGTCTCGACTGCAGGCCATCTTCTTCTCGACGGACATATTCAAGACGGCCGGTCTGTCTGTTGAAGGAGCTCTGCGTGCTACGCTCGGCCTAGGCCTCGTCAACGTCCTCATGACGCTGGTCTCCATGGTCGTCGTGGAGCGTGCGGGCCGCCGGACACTGCTGCTCACTGGCCTCGCTGGCATGGCGATATGCACCGTCGTGCTCACCATCACGCTAGCACTCAAGGTGAAACGCTTGTAATCATGCCCAAACAAAGATATTTTCCTTCATCTGCAGGGTGATAGATTAGTTATTTGTTGGAAGGGTTCAATATAGGCTGGCTTTATGCATTTTTTGTGTGTTCCAAACACAGTCTAAAATTATGAAATGTAATTACAAGGCTTTTATGTGCCAAAGACTCTATATTACTATGATGTCTGTCGTATAATTCCTGATCAATGTGGACCACTTGGTGTTCTTTAGACTGAGTGCCCATAGACCGAAGTGCATAGGCGTTCTCGCATTCTAAGCATTGTAATTTGACTACTGCTGTTCGTCGCTTTAGCATGGTCTCTTTATAAAGTGAACTTCCTTGCAGCAGTGTATTGCTCTGCACAATTTTATGCGATGAAGTTTATCGGGTATTTGTGACTATCTTGTGAGCACACATGTGAGACAACTAGTGCGCTCTACGGAAATCAAGCAATGTTTTTTCAACGCTACCCAATGAGCGCACCTCTTGATCAGCAAATTTTTGAACATTTTCGTGCATTATTCTGCGTACGTGACCGAACAAGGTGTCACGTATTGGCTGCAATGTCGCACGGGCCGTTGCGTTTAGTAAGAAGGATATGCTTATTCGGTATTCCTAGAGGTTCTTACATCTTGTTTGGTTATCTGGACTTTATTTCTTTATTGTAGCACTTCTTTTGCATTCACAGCTTTCATTTTTTCATTTCATTTCAAAATAGATATTCTCCAATTTATTAAGCCATGCATGAAGCACTGACATCTTCACATTACATGTCCCTCTGTGTACTACTTTCACAGGACCATGCTACGTGGGTGTCCTACATCAGTATTGCGGGTCTTGCCATGTTCGTCATCACATTTGCTGTTGGTCCAGGTACGCATACTGACACGATTGATTTAGTAGCTCGGCTTCTGGCAAATATTTGGTTTTAAGAGTTAAGATGATTACGTCCACGACATCGTCGAGAAACGTCTCCACACTTAAGACATATATTTGCTTAATTCTTAGAAATTTTTAAGTACTGCTTCCCGTGAACTTGGTACCATGCTGGATGCAATCCGCACACAATATTATCGAGTGTACTCAGGGTACTTATAATGTAGTCTAGAGCTTCATTCGCCACGGGATTAGCGCCATAGCGTTAAAGAAGTTTCTCATAAATTTCGGCATCAGAATCGGTGTCTGCGTTGGCGTATTTGGTTGTAGGTGAAACGTTTCCATCTTGTCCGTGATCAAAAAATACACCGAGAAATATTTAGTAAAGATTTCTGCGTTTGAGTGGGGACCCAGGCCGTTTGCGTGGAAAACAGGTGTCCCAGTGGGCCCTATAGAGCCCCGAGATTAGCTGAAGCTGTTTTGTAAGAAAACACCATGGGAATGTCATGTAGTTAATAAGGTCAACTTGATGCATCACATTTTACGTGGCAGCAACAAGAGCTCGACTTGAGCGTCAGGAATGAGTGCTGACAGTAAAGTCCTGTCCTTGTTGTTTCTTCGTCGCGCATTCGTTCTTGGGTAAAAAGAAAAGGGGAATTGAGCAACGAAGGGTTGTTTTAAAAGCACACTAATCACAGGGCACCCAGACATATTAAATCATCATCAGTAGCACAGCCATCAATGAACAGTTGCGTAGGTTCGCGTATTACCTTACGGACGTGGGCCCTTTGCTGATTTGCAAAAGAAGTAATTACTGCGTAGCAGGGTTGGAACAACTGTGCTTGCAATATGCATTCAATAGTACATTGAAACGACCAATGTTGGTCTTACTCTGTTTCTCACCCCATGGAAACTGGGTGTCATTTATTGAAGTCTGGAAAGCCAAACTGAATACATAGCATTGAGAACACTGTGTTCAGGAGGCTTCCTATATACGACGCAGGCTCCATACCATGGTTTCTGGTGACGGAGCTGTTCGGCCAGGGCGCCCGCCCTATAGCCACCAGCCTGGCGGTAGCCGTCAACTGGGCGGCCAATTTCATTGTGGGACTCGCCTTCCTTCCTCTCATGGTAAGTATATATGACTAGCGCCTTCGTGCAGCCTATATTGCACTCAGACCTATGCAGTAATCTGGAAATTAAGGCGGCTATGGGAATTAACATATTGTAACTGGCTAATGAGAAGTGAGCAGTGGTTGTCCCATGCCGCTTATCGCTCTTTGTGTGTCATCAGCTGGTAATGCGCCATTATGCTTTTTTTAATTTTCCTTGGCGTCGCACTTCCGCTTTCGTTCCTTTTTCTCTTTCTTTCTTTGCATGCTTGTCACCCTTAGTAATTATGAAGAAAACACGTTTTTCTACTCCTTAGACCCAATATTAATGTGAACAAACAGGCAATAATGCCAAAACTAGAGGATTAATCAGTAGTAATTGCTGCGTATGTTTGAAAAAAATAAAAGTGGATGAAAAGGTAACTTGCCTTGGGCTGGGACTGAAGCTGCAACCTCATTATTTCCCATCAATATTTTGTAGTTATAAGGGAAGCTGACTAACTTCGCAATAGCGAAGATTTTTGAAGTCTTGTCAACGATAATCAAACAAATGAAAGAGAAGGGAGCAAGAATTGACTTTCTTAAATTGTATATGGGCTAATTGGTGTGTCATGATATTTGATGAAGCAGTGCACAAAATGACTGAATCACGCACACATAAAATGGCGCAAAGACAAGCACTATTCTAAAGCGCTTATGTTTGAGTCATTTTATGTATGCGTGGTTCGGTCATTTTGAGCATAGTTTTAACAAAAGAATTAGCAATATCATATACATCATATATATGTCACATATGTATCATATATCTGATGCCGTCATTAGATGATTGTGACACCCTCATGACGTCTATAAGGACGTCGGAAATGATAGTATCTGCATCACCATGCATGAAGAGGGGACCATATGACGATGTTAATATATATATATATATATATATATATATATATATATATATATATATATATATATATATATATATATATATATATATATATATATATATATATATATATATATATATATATATATATATATATATATATATTGTGGCGAAGCCTTCGAACAGTGGGTCGTCCTCTCCAGCGCCTTCTAGTGGGTCGCCCTTTTAGCAAAAAGAAGAGTAGCTCGCGCAGAGAGTCGGTACCCGCATTGACTGTCACTGTCAAGCATCGTCGACAAGTGTGTCCGCCAATAAACGTCTCAACAATTTGGTGGAGAGTGCTGTGCCCTTCTAACACCTTCGGTTAGCATTCGATGCCCCTGGAGCTTCGATCCCGCACCGTGCCTTCTACCATGCACCAAGACGCCGCACAGCAAACGCTTCCTCCTGCGCCGACGCCATGTTCCGGTGTCCCCCGCATCCGCGACCCTCCTGTCTTCACCGGCGCGGATGGCACCAAAGTCGAGGACTGGCTTGCTATGTACGAAAGCGTCAGCGTCCCCAATCATTGGGACGAGGCAGGTAAGCTCGGCAACCTGGTTTTCTACCTCACGGGTGTGGCCGGCATGTGGTACAACAACCACGCATCCAATTTCCCCCCTTGGTCTGCTTTTAAAACCACCGTCGTCGACGTGTTCGGCCGTCCTGCCGTTCGTAAGCTGCAAGCCGAACAGCGGTTACGTGAACGAGCCCAGCAGACCGGTGAGTCCTTCACAAGTTACATTGAGGACATCCTTGACTTGAGCAAGAAAGTGGACGCGAGCATGTCAGAGGCCGACAGAATTACCCATGTTCTAAAAGGCATCGCGGACGATGCCTTCACCATGCTCCTGGCCAAGAACCCTCGCACTGTGGCAGAGATCATTACACTATGCCAGAGTTACGAAGAGCTGCGGTGGCAGCGCTCGATGACCCGTCGACCACCCTCACGTGACGCTGATCTCTCGGCCTTGTCAACACTTCCTGACCACACCACCTTGCTCGCTGAAATCAAGTCATTCGTGCGTGAGGAAGTTGCCCGCCAGGTCTCTTTACTGGCTTTTGCTTTCCCGCAACGTGCTCAACAGCCGTCAAGCACACTTCTGCCTCCCCTCCGCCGAGCCATTCAGCAGGAAATCGCGGAGGTCGTTCCTGAATACCACCAGCCGCCTCCAGTATCTACACCACTCAGTTACGCCCAAGTTGTCACCAGGCCACCCCCACCGATTCCTGTGACTGGCCCCCTTAGTTACACCGAAACCATCGCCAGGCCCCAGGCCTTCGGAGAAACTGTGCCGCCTACATATCCCGACGTCATCCACGTGCCCCGTGTGCCGCCCACTATGCAGTTATATCAGCAGCCGGCTCGCCGATCGCGTTCTGCGACATGGATGGGACACGCGAACCGATGGCGCACTGCTGACAATCACCCCATCTGCTTTGCTTGTGGTCGCGTCGGTCACGTAGCACGCTATTGCAATCGTGTGCAACAACCGCAGGTCGCCTCCAATTTTCCCAGCCAATTGAGCCGCTTTCATGACCAACCGCCGCCAACGTCACCGTCGTCCCGCCCCGCACCATTTACCCGCCGTTCACATTCTCCGCGACGTCGCTCACTGTCACCGGTGCGGCCACGTCCACTAGAGGGTGACCAGGAAAACTAGTCGTCGCAGTCCACGAGGCAAGGGCTGCGACGCTGTCGAACTGCGGAAGCCCTCAGCAAAGACCATCGAACGTGATAGACGTGCTTGTGGATGGTGTTCGTGCATCTGCCCTTGTAGATACTGGAGCCGCCATATCCGTCATGGACGCAAAGCTTAGCCGATTACTGCGAAAAGTGACCACACCACTTTCCGGGCTCTCCCTCCGTACAGCCAGCGCGCAAAGCATTCACCCTGCAGCGATATGTATACATATGTATACATATGTATACAGCCCGCCTCATGATTCAGGACGTGATGTATGCCGTCGAATTCATCATAATTCCTTCATGCTCTCACGACGTCATCATAGGATGGGATTTTCTCTCCCGCCACGACGCCGTCATTCATTGCGCACCAGCAGAAATAGAGCTGACACAATTCTCTTCTTTGACGCTGGCCGACAGTCCATCTGCTGCAAGCAAGTTACTCGTCAGGGACGACACGCAAGTGCCTGCAAACTCGTCCACGGCGATGCCGGTATACTGCGCAAGTCTTTCCGACACCGCTGCACTCTTCTCGACATCTCATCGTGTTTTCACCAGAAAAGGCTTGCTGGTTCCTTTCGCGACCGTGCAAGTCACTCATGGCAGCACCACTATTTTTGTTCTGAACTCATCCCTGTACAGTGTTACGTTGGTGCGAGGGGAATGTCTCGGCAGCGTGGAACCAATCGAAGACGCACAAGTCATGGATCAACCTGATGACACGCACTGCCAAAGTTCCAATACGCTTAGTGCTGTTTCTACATCTGTTTCATCATCCGCTGATGTATTCGGTCCTTCCATTGCCGACAACCTTACGCTGGTCCAGCGCTCCAAGCTTCTGGCCCTGTTGGAAGAATTCCGCTCTTCTTTCGATGTCGCTCAATCTTCTCTCGGCCGCACATCCACTGTCACGCATCGCATCGACACAGGCGCACAACCACCACTACGGCAACGTCCATATCGCGTATCTCCCACAGAACGCCGTGTAATCAACGAGCAAGTGGACGACATGCTTCGCCGCGATGTTATTAGACCCTCTAACAGCCCCTGGGCATCTCCTGTCGTTCTCGTCGCGAAGAAGAACGGTTCTGTGCGGTTCTGTGTGAACTACCGACGCCTCAACAAGATCACTCGTAAAGACGTGTACCCACTACCGCGTGTAGATGACGCGATTGACAGCCTGCAAGGAGCCGAATTTTTTTAATCTCTCGATTTGCGCTCAGGGTACTGGCAAGTACCTATGGCTGAGGACGCTCGACCGAAGACCGCTTTTTTCACTCCCGACGGCTTGTACGAATTCAACGTCATGCCGTTTGGGCTGTGCAATGCGCCCGCCACCTTTGAGCGCATGATGGATACCGTTCTGCGTGACCTGAAATGGCACACGTGCCTGTGCTACCTCGATGACGTCATCGTTTTCGCTCCGGACTCCTCCACGCATCTCCAACGCCTGCGGCATGTTTTAACGCGTCTGAGTGACGCCAGTCTGCAACTGAACCTAAAGAAGTGCCGATTTGCAGCTCGGCAGTTGACAATACTCGGCTACGTCGTGTCCAAGGATGGAATTCTTCCCGATCCAGCCAAGCTTCGGGCCGTGACCGAGTTCCCCAAGCCGACATCCGTCAAGGCACTGCGCAGTTTCGTAGGACTGTGTTCCTACTTTCGGCGCTTCATCCGAAACTTCGCGTCTATCGTATTGCCACTGACGAAGCTCCTCGGAAGTAACGGGCTTCTCCATTCGTGGTTATCACAGTGTGACGACGCATTCGCAACGCTCCGTCGTTTGTTGACGTCGCCTCCAATACTCCGCCACTACGACCCTACGGCCCCTACAGAGGTACACACGGACGCCAGTGGTGTCGGTCTCGGCGCTGTCCTTGCGCAGCGCAAACCAGGGTTCCCGGAATATGTCGTGGCGTATGCAAGCCGCACGCTTACAAAAGCTGAGATTAATTACACCGTCACAGTGAAAGAATGTCTGGCAATCGTCTGGGCCCTTACCAAGTTCCGACCTTATTTGTATGGTCGCCCATTTGATGTAGTCACCGACCATCACGCACTATGCTGGTTGTCGTCATTGAAAGATCCCTCAGGCCGTCTCGCCCGGTGGGCACTTCGCCTGCAAGACTACGACATCCGCGTGCTGTACCGCAACGGAAGGCAACATGCTGACGCCGACGCCCTGTCGCGCTCTCCCTTGCCTGACGACAATGCCCACGACCCAGCGTCTCACCTTGCCGTTTCTTCCATTAGCATTCATGCCGTTGCTACTGAACAGCGCAAGGATCAATGGATTGCCTCACTGATAGACTTGCTGACTGATTCATCCACTCCAACCACTCGCGCGTTGCGTCGTCAAGCCCACCGTTTCGCCGTTCGCGACGACCTCCTCCAAAGACGCAATTACAACGGTGACGGCCGCCGGTGGCTACTAGTCATACCCCGCAGTCTGCGCTCTGACATATGTGAATTCTTTCATTCTGATCCGCAATGTGCGCACTCCGGGGTATCGAAGACTTACCACCGCATTCGCCTACGGTACTTTTGGCGCGGCATGTACCGCTGCGTGCAGAAATTTGTTCGCTCCTGCATAGAATGTCAGCGCCGCCAAACTTCAACGCACCGGTCGCCGGTAGGTCTGCAACCTCTACCTTGCCCTGCGAGGCCGTTTGGGCGTGTTGGCATCGATTTGTATGGGCCACTTCCGCTGACATCAGCTGGTAACCACTGGGCCATTGTTGCTGTGAACCACCTCACGCGATACGCCGAAACTGCCGCTCTTCCCGCGGCTACAGCGAGTGATGTGGCCTCCTTCCTGCTCCAACGATTCATCCTGCGACACGGTCCACCTCAGGAACTGCTCAGTGATCGAGGCCGCGTCTTCCTGTCTGAAGTCGTCGAAGCCATTCTCAAAGAGTGCAACGTTGTTCACCGCAAAACTGGTGCTTACCACCCGCAGACGAATGGCCTCACTGAACGCTTCAACCGTACGCTCGGCGACATGCTCTCCAAGTACGTCGCCGCCGATCACACAAATTGGGATGCCATTCTACCCTTCGTCACCTACGCATATAACACCGCCCCTCAGAGCACTACTGGCTTTTCACCTTTCTTTTTATTATATGGAAGGCACCCGTCGCACACCATCGACACTATACTTCCGTACAAGCCAGATCCGTCCGAGTGGGCGCCTATTTCTGCTACAGCCAAGCTTGCTGAAGAGTGTCGAGAGCTTGCAAGGACCTTTACAGCGCATGATCAAGAGCGGCAAAAAGGCATTCGCGCTGACACCAGCGCTACTGCGCCCACTTTCCTCCCTGGAGCGCTCGTCTGGCTCTCGATCCCTACCACATAACTGGCCTATCTTCAAAACAATTGCCCAAATACGAAGGCCCCTACCATGTCGTCAAACGCACTTCCCCTGTAAATTACTTGATCGAACCCATCGAACCATCTTCGGACATGCGCCGTCGAGGGCGCGACATTGTTAACGTGGAGCGCCTCAAAGCCTACCACGACCCGCTCATATAGTAACCAGCTGTTAGGTCACCAGGCGGCTCGCTCTTCGTACCCGGGGCAGTTGTGGTGAAGCCTTCGAACAGTGGGTCGTCCTCTCCAGCGCCTTCTAGTGGGTTGCCCTTTTAGCAAAAAGAAGAGCAGCTCGTGCAGAGAGTCGTTACCCGCATTGACTGTCACTGTCAAGCATCGTCGACAAGTGTCCGCCAATAAACTTCTAAACAATATATATATATATATATATATATATATATATATATATATATATATATATATATATATATATATATATTTATATATATCACTCGTGTTGTCGACGCTTAACGTTGACGCTGGCGGCCGTTGTTCATGTTTGATAACTCACTGATGAGACATCTAAAGGCCTGACCACATGTATGCGTTGTAGCGTGCCAGCGTGTAGTATCTTGACGCAGCACCGCGCCCTCTCCCCATAAAGAGAGGGCCTAGCGCTGCGTCAAGAATCCACGCCCAGACGCGCTTCAACGCGTACGTGTGGTTTAGCCTTGCGGTTTCGGCCTTTAATTAGAGGCTACGCTTCCAGCTCTGTTCTAAGTAATTGTTCAGTGCCCTGCCATGACATATTTATATTAAACGTGCACTAAATTGTGTGCATGACCATGTTTGTGACACCGGCTACAAATAGTAGCCACGCAAGATAGAGGATGATGAATAGGCGTTCTTTCCGCCACACAGGAAGAGATTCAGCACTACACTTTCCTGATCTTCACGATGGTGCTGGTGTTCTTCTGGGTCTTCATCTACAAGAAGTTGCCGGAGACGAAGAACAAGAGCATCGAGGCCATCACTAAGGTATTCAGGGCACGAGTATACCAGGAGGACGTGGCCTTGAATAAACTCAATGGACGAGCATGACCGGAGCCTGGCTAAGTGGCTTCTGCAGGCTGACACACAAGTCGTCACAAGAGCCTTCGAGCGAGGCCCGAGTGCAGGGACGTGCCGCAGCACCTAGAGGTGTCCACTCATCTGCATCGGAAAGGCAGCGATGAAGAAGGAAAACCAGTTCTAATGGCGCTGTCACGCTGGAATGATAAGACTTCGTAGGAGAGTCCCCACCATGTCCATTGTCGCTTGGCACGTAGCTTTACTAACTCGAGGGTGCGGGTTTGATTACCGGCCAAGAAGGCCGCATTTCAATGGGGGTGAAATGCAATGAAAACCCGTGTGTTTAGATCAGGCGCACGTTGAAGAATCCCAGGTCATCAAAATTCATTCCGAGCCCCATCTACGGCACATCCCATAATCATGCAAGGGCTTTGGCTGCTCGTAGACCAACACTAATTTTTATTCCCACTTTTCATTGCGAAGAACGACCGGTAGACTGGTCAGATAATACCCACCGCGAAAAACGACCAGTAGACTGGTCAGAAATGCCGCTCGACCATCTTTTCACAATTGATTTATACTAACCCTGACATAACCACCGAACAAACTTCACTCCGAAGATGATATGAAAGCGATAGTATCCGTAGAACGCCAGTAGACCAATTAACTGCTTGCCGAACTCTTGGACGCAGGTTCAAAATTTTTTACACGCTTTCATTAGTGCACGCAGGTCGAATTTCCTGAACGGGAGTGTCACGATAGCTCTCTTTCTTTAGCAACAACATTTCAAGCCCCTTGGCTCGATCGACGCGCGCACGCATGCCATATTGTAAAACGGAGTATGGAGGGCCAACAATCCGCTAGGGGCGTGACAGATTGCAATTGGGTTTGAATGCTTGGCTAGTACGGCGCATCCGGCTTTGTTACGTGACCCACATCGCATTACGTCTACTCAACATTCCTGTATATACATCCTCGCTTTCATTTCTCCCATAGCCGGTCACAGTGCAAGTTGCCAAAGTCTATCCACAGTGAGCACGCTTCGACGTGATCTAAATTTAGAATCTTGGGTTACACTGGGAAAACGAGTTCATTCACCATTCATTTAAGTTACATCTGACGGGATTGAGGCCAAATATTTGTTTTTACTGACATCCCTACAATATGTTGCCTACAAGGACAACAACGAAAAAAGGGCACTCGGTCCACTAAGGTCCAGTATGACAGCGCCATTGCAAAGTACAGGGCCTTGCCGAGACAGGGTCTGCAGTCGCTTTTCCTGGGTTACGCATCTTCGGAGCGTCTGGGCGGAAGGGCCCGGCCGTTACTTATCACCTGAGCAATCAGCGGGAGTTGGACGCTTCTGGCTCATCGTCGATCGACACATGGTCATCGAGAAAAACCACGTGGTCAACTTTCGATACATCTGTGTCCTTAACCTTGACCAGGACGTTACTTGACAGTGTTGTGATAGTTTTCTGGACCACATTGTGCGAGCGTGTGTGTGCGTTTATATTACATCACTCACGACGAGTCGCCATGTATTTATGTACGTCAAAAATTGCAGCGCACTTGAAAACGGCTAGAACATACATATAGTCACCTATGGTATAATCTAAGTGTGTTCCCGACGCGATGCTCTGGGTGACACTTTATGTACCTATGAAACGTGTGTAAATTTTCGGGCAGGCTTTTCACTCCGAATTACGAAATAGGTCATTGGAAAGACAACTTAATTAGAGTACAGAACCATATCGTTCATTTTTTTATTCGGGGGGGGGGGGGTGGAAGCTACATTCTAAAATACTTCGACATATTTGTGGGATACTGCCGCTTGAGCACAATCTTGCCCCTGGTGCTTTAGTATGGAAAGGAAAAACACTTTTTTCGGAACAGAATAAAACAACCTTGATCGTACGTTTGTAGTTGAAAAATAAAAACACTAGCTGAAAATACTTGGTGTCTAGATAATAAAACCTGCAGTGCTTGTACGAATCACTGTTATTATTATTATTATTTTCAAGTTTAGGCCGTTCATTCAAGTGCGCTGCTCTTTAAGTGGAGTAGAAATAAAAGTACTTTTGCTACTTTTTGTTCCACTTCAGCAGCTATTGAAATTTGCAACTTCAATATTTCTTTTTGTGTTCAGCATTGTCTACTTCAATTTAATCTAAACGCAGCAGTATTGTCTCTAATTAGGATACTAGTTTTTTGTGTACACAGTGTTTATGATGATGTGTTGCGACACAAGTGTGCCACAAAAATAGCTGCCACTTTGCTTGAAATCAGGAAAATGGGCGAAAATTGCAATTCGCTTGAGAATAATGCCGCATTCTAGTGCATAAGATTAATCATGACTTCTACCACTCATTAACAGCAACTCAGTAGTTTTGTGTTATTGTGAAGTGCGTGGCAATTCATTTCTTCATGATTCGCATTTCATTACACTTCATTTTTCTTCTGAGATGCGGAGAAAAAACGGCTGAGTTCGAAGTTCTGTCGTTATTTGGCGTTTCCAACCTGCTTATATACTTATAGCTGTTGTATTATTTTTATGACGTATGTAAGATGAGAGCTTTTAAAACTACTCATCTCTCATTTACAAGTCTTATGCCTCTTTTGGTACATAGTAATATTCAGAGTCTAACATGGGGTGATTCATTGTGCTACACCTTCAGTCTCACCTTCCTGTGTAATTGAAATAAGTTTGCTAGCTTATAAACATTGTATTCTTTGGTGGGATGATATTGAAAGAAATACAGCAATAAGGAAACAGTGACAACAGGTTTTTTTATACCACTAAGCGAAACGCTTCTGCCCCTGCTGGCAACGAAGATAAAAAAAGGCGTACGTTACAAAATGTGTATCAGAGAAATACTTTAAATGCATAGGCTTTTTTTACGCGTTTAACCTGAGGTGTTCTTGAGCGAGCATGTTGTGTCCACAAACTAACCTTCTGTGCAAAGAATTTTTAAGAACACTAGACCTTTTTGCCACAGCGCAATCAACATTCTTATGCAGAACAACTATGGTAAGAGTCACTTCACTGGACGGGACGTTTTGTGCAAGAAACAGTAATTGGCTACAAAATTGATGGCATGAGTGACGTGCCGATAACTGGCATGTTAATGTGCAGATGCGCTTGTGTTTTTTGTATATTTTTTTTTCTTCCTTTAAGTGAGTCACCGAAATGCGTGAATGTTGTGCAGGGGTAAGAAGTACAAAGAAGTGCCTCAGCTGGCTTAGGCCGCTGGCATATTTCAACTATTTTTGTACAATAACTGATAAGGAAAATAAACATGTGTATCAAAGCAATGTGCCTTGTTCACTTTTGCACGCCGTGGGTGACTTCATGCAAATGTAAGGGCAAAACGCATCGGCAACCGGTTCCTTTTGCAACTTTTTTTTTTGTTGTAAGGGGGGGGATTAGAGGGGATATGAATAAGGTTCGGATCCCACCCGTGGAGGGTGTGTTTCACTGGAGGCGAAACGCTAGCGGCCCGTCTAGCTATAGATTAGGCACTCATTGAAAAACACTACATGGTCGAAAATTCCGGAGCCTACACCATGGTTTCCTCATTATCACATTGTTGTTTAGGACGTATGACCTCAACTTTAATATCAGCGCACAGAGTTAGGCTGTCAAGCTTTTAAACTACAATCGACTTTTTAAAATATTCTCACGTGTCACTGAGAATTGCCATACATCATCACAAGTGTCAACAACGGCCCTATCGCCGAATAGACGGCATACAAGTCGCCCGCCTGTTTAAATGACAACAGAAAAGTTTTCGGTTCAATGCGCGTGACCGGTGAGTGTCGCCGTCGTTGTTTCAACAAGGGAGTAGTAAAAGGCGCCCTTTAAAAGAGGCTGGGCTTGAGCGGTGAGTCAGCGGCGCGCCTTTTGCCAGAAAGCGTCGGGAAAGCCCGCATTAGACCCCGAAAGTTATTTATTCTCCGCACTTTCAGAGACGTCTGCCGGCAGCGTGACTTCGGTCGCGTTTCTTTTCTGGTTTGCCGCTCGGCTGCACGTCCGTGACACAGCCGAGACCCAAATGCTACACACACGCGCTTTGGTCTTTGACTCGAAACGCTCCCGATGAGTGGAAAGCGACAGCGACTGGAACGACGCTCAGTGCACTACGACGCCCGCCTGCGCGTTCCTCCGAAACACGAGGAGGATGGTGAAACGGCAAGTTTTGAAGACTTATTCTGTGCTGCGTGCAAGGAAGTAAATAGGTTCAGGCCAGGCGTATTTTGACTGAGTAAGTGAACGAACAGTTGAGCATAAGATCGTTTCTGTCGTTCTCTCAGCTTCTCTCACGTGTGGCTTCGCCAACCAAGCGGCAGAGGTGGCAACAACTCTGAATGTGGCTCGGTATTTCGACGCTACGCGTGCTGAGGCAGTGGACTAGGATCTCCTACGTTCCCTCGTCCGGAGGATCCGCTCTGTGCGTATCATCCAGGCTTTGCTGTATACCACTCTCAAGGGACTCGAGCAAGGCTCCACCGTCGCATCGGCGTCAGCTGACGAAGACCCTAGCGCCACTCGGCGTCGAGCGCGCGCGCGATCGAATATCGTGACGTCACGCATCGTACCGGCACTCCGAAGCCGAGGCGGTGATCATGGTGGCCGCGGGTTGAACCAAGCCAGCGGGCTCCGGCGGTCGGAAGTCGCTTGCTGCATTCACTCACGCCCACGGGTAAGTTTCCCGACCGAACGCACGGTGTTTTTCTCCGACTTCCACGCAGCACCCGAGAAGCAGTGTGCGCGAAGAAACGCGCAGGATGCATACGAAACCTCCTGAATGCACGCCTCCTTTCGCACACGGATACGAAAACATCGAACGACTAAACGCAACTGCACTTCGTGCGAGGACCAAAACATTGTGTTGTTATTGCCTACGTGAGAATTTTCCTTTCAACAGCTATCTCGGGAATGCATCGTTTTCGGAGCTAGGCGACATGTTAGGGTGGCGCGTAGCTTATATGCGATGTTTTCGCGTCGTTAGATTAGAATTATCGAATTCAGTACGTTGAAGAGGCAAATCGCTTCTACGTATTCGTTATTTGATACGATACGAATAAAAATCGTCAGACTGCTGGAGCACGCTCAGGGTGCTCGTTCGTTAATTACTTGCTTCTCACGCATTTATTGGGCTGCTCGGCTCGTTGCTCCAACAACATGCGGTGGCCAAAACAATCATTTAAAATGAGCGTCGCGTGTTGTGAGCGATATTAACTTCGACACTAATCATCTCCACGTCATCTTAATGCTCTGCAAAAAGGGTATTACAAACTGTTATGGCTTTAGATAACCACTGAGTTACGCCTGAGGGGCCAAAAAATGACATAACCATATTAAATTAGACCTTTGGTATCTCAGGTTATGCACAAGCTCAATATCTCACGCAATTTTGAAGCTGCAGTAAGCTGTTCGATGCTATTTTATTCCAACCACTGTATCACGACGACAAAAAGCAGTGACACTATCTAACAACTTCAACTGAGGTATTAGATTTAGAGTGCATGCAAATAATGATTTGGCATTAAGAATCTCATAACAATTTAGAACTGAAAATCAAAAGTGTAACGCAGGAAATTAAAACACAAAGTTAAAGCAAGTTGAGCTACATATAAACTTGTGTCGATTTCTCTGCAACCATTTTAAGCCAAAATTGAAGTTTGAACTGCATTCCACGTTTGACGCTGCTTGTGCATTAAACAAAGAACATGCATAGGGGATGATGATGGTGCAGGCGCCATATTTTCTTTCCTTCCGATTTCTTCGTTTTCGCGCTTCACTTGAATGACGTTTCCGCAGCCTAAGAAAGCTTTTTTTTTTTATTCGAAAGTCTGCCCTTAGGCATAACAAATGTGCATCAGAACACGAGAGGCTCATTACAAATAAACAAGTTCCACTCGTGCATGAAGTTTAACAAGTATTAGTGGAGCAGTTCTTTTATTAATTGACAGTCAGTATCGACTGCTCATAAGTACAGGTAAATTACGCTAAAAGAGGAAACAGAACGGAAGGCATACAGACGATCCACGTGTTCAAGTTCATCTAATTCCATTTTTTGTACCTCTAAACCTATTTACTTTCTAAGGCTATTCAAGCAATGTACTGCCCGATTCATGGATGATGCCGGAACGGAGAAAGATACGGGGACGACAAGTCTTTGAGGAACAATCAGCCACCAAGATCTCTCCGCCAATATTGCGCGGGACTACACGTTGCCGACAATAAACTGTGCACACCACCTTTACTTTAGTTAAGGAACTACATCGCTCCCTGCATAATGCACGTTCTATCTGCACAGCGTTTTAACGTAGCTGCTTCTATAAACCTGTCTTCTGCGAACAGCCGGCTACAGGAACATAAAATTTGTAGCCTGCTTAATTAAAAAGTACGAAAGAGCTTATCTTTTAAATTTCATCAATGTCAATAGTTTTAGCCTTTCCTTCAACCGCATAAGCCAGAGATTAAAACAACGGCAATCACAACGCCTCCGGTAATGCTGAGCGACGCAGAATCTAGCCATCGATAAATCGAGAAAGCTGACAGAGATTGGCAGATGCTGTTTACCACTGGGCGCCATTCGTTTGTGTCTCATTATACGAGCTGCTATAAGTGCCTTGTCAAGACGTGAGGCAGCGGGTCTTGCACCATTCGCACTTATATGAAGTGTGGCCACTCAGAATTTGAACACACACACTTCCTCGTCGCTCGGCTATTTGCTCGCCACCAGGTGTACGACAATATTGTTGCGCATAATTTTCTGCAAACTGGAGGCGCTCACGTGAGACCATGGCGGTGCCGCTAAAGACAAAACGAAACGTAAAATCATAAGTCATGATTAATCGAAATTATTTACCACGCTTCCAGTGTTGCATCCTCAGCGCAACCAATTGATAGCTAGCATGTGATGTCGTGAACGCAATACATGGTTCCAACATTGCGGCTTAGATGGCGTCCAGACAGTGTAATCACGCGGTGATTCCCCAGTGTAGTAATGACATTGCTGGAATGTTATTAGGCGCCTGCGCATAAATAGCGACCCACGGCTTAAGGAGCTTCGCCCCTAAAAATTAAAGCCAATTCTACGCGTGTGCAATCTGAGTAAACAGCGTATACCACAAGCAAGCCTCACCAGCTGCCGAACGCAGGTCTACTTCTTTCTTCTCCTCCTTTCTAGCTTGCCTTTTCCTTGTCTAGCTCATGTTTCAGTGGCCGTGATGTCAACCACATTGCCCGGCCAGCTAGGTTATCAAACAGTTATCAAAGCTAGGTTATCAAACTTAGTTTTAAATGCAAAACATTTCTTTGCGTACGGCAGGCACTTTGAGTATCTATCTATCTATCTATCTATCTATCTATCTATCTATCTATCTATCTATCTATCTATCTATCTATCTATCTATCTATCTATCTATCTATCTATCTATCTATCTATCTATCTATCTATCTATCTATCTATCTATCTATCTATCTATCTAGCGAGGCAGCTAGCGAGCCAGCCACCTGCCTCCGAGAGCTCTCATGATCGCCTTAATTCCTACCACGGGGTAAACCAAATTAGTATGGGAGGGTAAGGAAGTTTGAAGAATATGTGTGGAGAGTCATAGCATGAATAACGCGATGATCTCTTCGCGTGCGTCGTCACACTTTTCCTGCAGACATGTGTGGCACATATACCACGGGTATGCGAGTATGCGCCACGGGTGATAAGAAGTTCATAACTACGCAGTAACGACTACAGCAGGCATTCGTAATTAATATGTGAGAGCGTTAAGAAACACTAACATTGCAGCGTTGACACGACGATTGCGAAAAATAAATGTCAGGGTCGCACCAAAAATTGAACCTCAGCATTTTGTGTGGCAATCAAGTATTCGAACACAGAACCAGGCCAGTTCTCGAAACTGCTTTGACAAAAGACCTTATATGCAGGTATAACGTTGGTAAACGTCCATAGTGGCCTCAGTGCTGCACGTATGATTTCGTAAAAATTACATATTTGCTACGATGATACAGGCGTCATGTCGGTTAACGTCAATAGTAGTTAAGCGCCATCCACAAGAGTTGGTCTACGTAGCGCTCTCCATGGCTACCATCCTCGCAAGCACAAGCGCTCCATATTAGCTTATATACCGCTTCTGGTGTTACAAATACCAATATTGGGGTTGGCATCGTTACGCAACTCTAAAGAACTGGTAATATAAAACATGTGCGACTGTTGAACACCGTGCGTATGCAACGTTTGTATAAGACTTAAGCATCGTTTCGTAATGTTTCACTCAATAAGAAAATCACACCACAGTTACCTTCCTTCCGCGTGCTTCGCATAACATCGATTCCCACGTACGTAGGATCTAGCAATTTTTTCATATCTTTTTCCAACACATTCGATTGTATAGGTGCGTTATATTATTTTTCTATACACCGCGTGCCGTTGAGTACGCAATATCGGCATTGGTGGCACAGCTCGAAGAATGAGCGCTAACACGACGGCTGTACGTCGGGTGATCTGTAATCTGCATTGCGCACGGCGCCGGCGGAAGCCGCGTTTCCACTTCCTGAGGTTCCTCGCAGCCTTTCGTTATTCCACCACCTCCCGACGCCAGAACTGCCGGCGAGTATTAGGAAGCAAGAAAGTGGGCGAACGGAAGCAGCGGGAGGGCGAAAGAGACTCGCCGAAGGATTCGGTGCGAAGAAGACTGGGAAGGGCTTGGAATGACCGTGAGTGAGTGACGTGCGGTATTGCCTTCGCATTATGCGCCAAGAAACAATCTATCGAACTTTGATATGAAGAACAATATTTTTTTTTTGATCGTCTCCCTCACTGTTGCAAAAATTATTGCAAACTACTATGTCCGGACTATAGGCACCCGGCAATGCAGTTTACGAGATCTGATGATACGCCAGAACACACAGCCTAGCGAGTAGACGCTGCAAAACGGAGTCTTCCAATGCGTAGCCTAGCGAGTAGACGCAGAGAAACCAGACTAGCATGTACATATCATTTTCTTTTTAGTTGTGAGCAGGGGGGGGGGGTCACGGCTGATCATGTAAGTGCCCAGGAAGCGTTCTTTGAAAGCGCGCCGAAAAGGGCATTGGCACTTCAGCGTCTCAGTGTGTTCCGCGAGAGTTTCATTTTCTTGGTATCCCTGGCGGTCAGTACCAACAATGCTTAGGCGGCCCAAAAAGCATCGTCGCGACCTCTGGTTCACTGTCGGGTGCCTGTATGTCGGTCAAAAGAAATGCATTCCATAGGAGAGAAACTTATTTTCGCTCATTTGTTACATCCACATATTCCGCTCCTAATGGTTGAGCATCTACCGTACCGGTCAGTCACTGTGCTCTTATACAGCGTTCAATCAAATAATAAAATGAAGGGGCTGGATCTGGGGCCTCGTATTCTTGTTAGACACAACCTAAGGAAAACAACAGTCTATGAGGAAATGTAAAACCATATCTGAAATTCGCACACTTGGTTACCTCTGAAACAAATTATTTTTACACACGAAGTGCTTTCCACGTATGTCAGAATCATCACTGTACATTAAAAAAAATGACGTGTCCTTTTTATGGCTACCTGGTCAGGTGGCTTCTTTGAGTTCAATCATACAATGAGATTTGTCGACTTACTTGCACGAAACAATTAAAAAGACAATGCGTGTTATCTGTGTACATATACATCCAGCATCATGCGAAAACACCTTGCCACGTTAGTGGCTATGGGCGTCATTTTAGGTAAATTAAGAAGTAACATATGTGATGGAACTCTCTCGGACGCAATACAAAAATTTAGTGGCATTTTCAAGGGAGCTTGTTGATGCTCCCTATA